CTGCCCTGCCCTGCCCTGCCTGCCGGGGGGGGGGGCGCGTCTGCCGCCGCTGCGGAGCGGATTCCTCTCTCGGCTGGGTGCGCCCTCTCCTTCCCCCCCGGCCCCCGACAGAGACTCTCGCCCGGTGCCAGGCGAGGAGGAGGAGGAGGAGGAAGCGGTGGCGGCAGGGCCGGCGGTGCCCAAACAGCCAGGGCAGCCCTTCCAGGGGAGGACCCTGGGAACGAACGGCTCCCCTGCGGCCCACGCGCCTGTCTCCCAGAAGGGCTGCTGCTGCTGCTGCTGCTGCTGAGAGGCCTCCTCCGACCGCAGGGTGGGCCTGATCAGCCTCCAGGCCTCAGGCCTGGCTCTTCCCAGGGGGCCCCTGCAGCTCTCCTGAGCCCCTCACCTCCTCTCGACCGGCCCCTGCCTCCGTCTTGGCCCTCACCCCGCCCAGGTCCCCGCCTCACCTGGGCAGGAGCAGGGTGGCCGCCCACCCCCGCGTGGGAGAGGATGGGCCTGTCCCTTCAGGGGAAACTGTCCCTGGCATGGGGCTGAAGAGCCTCTCCGGAGAGGACAGGGCCACCTCGAGGGACCACTTCAAAAGTCGGCAGCCTGAGCAGAAAGGAGAAGCGTGGCCGCATGGCCCCCTCCCAGCCAGAAGGGCCCACGGCCTGTGGCACTGCAAGCCACCACCACCACCCCCGTGGAGCGAGGGAGTCACCAGGAGTCACGCTCCCCCACCTCTCTCCCTGCCCCTGGCAGTCTTGCTGTGGTGTGGGAAGGGCGGCAGAACAAAGCAGTGGATATTACGAGACGGGGGGGGGGAGGGATGGCGCCGCTCCTGGCTTGCTGTGTGTCCGGGCAGAGGCTGCGTCGGCCGCGCTTTCTCCCCGTGGCGGGACCGCCATTGGGTGCTGTCAGACTCCTCCTAGTAGCATAATACGCACGCTTTTGAAGAAGAGGTAACTTTATTAGAACTGAAGGTGCATAACAGGATCACTGTTCAGAATGAGGGGTAAAAGCAATGGCAAAGCATATAATAAACATTCACACTGCTACGGGCCAATTGCGGGGGTTCCCGCGCGTGCCCTTGAGCCTGAGAACTGACGGTCCCAAGCCTCTCACGTTATCTTCTTCTCACGGTGTTTAGTGAGAGCTTCTCTACACTAACAAGCTCTTGCATCCACCTGTGGCCTTGAGCTAGATAATTGTTTCGGTGAGCTACATAGACATGCACATCTAGGATTCTACAGTGAAAGAGGCAAGCGCACACACATATACAGAATGAAAACAAAACATTGGCAGCTTGCTGACAGGTGCGCAGGGACCGCCTGAACTCCTGAGTTTCATTTAAGGCACAACATAGTTCCTGTCTCCTTGTACCATTAGTGATTTCTGAATTTTTAAAAAACTTTTTAAAATAAATATTCTTTAAAATATTTGTGACTCCATTGGGATGCTCCTGCTTAATTTCTCCTTGTGCTTTTCTCCGTGAAGAAGGCCTTTTCCCGAGGCCTTTTCTGTGTGGCCTCTTGGGCTGACCAAAGCCAGGGGCCAAGTTGTACCGCGGCTACTCCAGGCGCCCCAGGAACAGGAGCCGTCGCTGCCCCTCTTCCATCCCGACTCCTTTCCATGAGAGCGCCTGCTTTCTCTACTGCTACGCCTTTCTCGGGAATCAGAAATGGATGGGCGCGGGGTACAGATATTTTAAAGCCATGTGGTTAAGATGCTGAAACGCAGACTGAAAGTTTGAGACCCGAGTGCCGCATGACAGAGTGAGCTCCCATCTCTGGCCCCAGCTCCTGCCAACCTAGCAGTTTGAAAGTAAGACATTGCAAGGCATCCCCACCTTCGGGGGGAAGGTGATAGGGTTCTGTGCGCCTCGGCGTCTAGTCATGCCGGCCACTTGACCACGGAAACGTCTTCGGACAGCGCTGGCTCTTCGGCTTGGAAACGGAGATGAGCACCGCACCCTAAAGTTGGATTCGACTGGCTTTCAAGCAGGGGAAACCTAAGTAAAATGCTCTACTGGAGGAACAGGGAGGCCTTGCCTGACCGTGTGAGAATGTGCTGCTCCTGGAGCTTTCACAGAGGTCTCCTCCTGGCAGAGGCAGGCATGGAGGGCTCCCCAAAGCATCAGAGGGGGTGCTCCGCTCGACCCCGCGCCCTCCTCCGCCTCCCTTGCAGCTCCACCTCCCGCCCCCTTTCTTAGAAGAGCTTTATGCCACCACTCTCCACCTGGAGGAGTCCCGTTGCTAGTCTCTGAGGCAGCCCAGCCCGACCAGCGCGTGGCGGAAGCTCCTGGAGACCAGGGTGCCTGCCAGCAGGGTGGGTGTTTGCCAAGCAGAGCCCTGACAATGGCCTGCCAGCTGTGCAAACAGGGCCCCTCCTGAGCGGGCGCTTTTGCAGCTGCCCCTGTGTGGCCAGGGCCCTTTTGTCCAGGATTCTGCTCCGCCTCCCGGCTCCTCAGGTGGAGGGAATATGAGCAGGTGGCTCCAGGCCCTCCCGTGCAGAAGAGCAGGGGACATGGAGCTCCCCCTAGGGCTCTGGCTCTGGCTCCATGTGGCCAGCCTGCCGCACCAGCCTCTGACGGGAGAGGCCGGCTACCGGCTTGTCCGATGGCCCCAGAGCTTCCCAGCGGCGCAGGCCTGGTGCTGGTTGCACGGGGGGTCCCTCCTCCATTCTTGGGACCGCCACACCAAAGCTTTCCTGCTGCGCAGCCTGAACAGCGAGAGCAAGAGCTGGATCGCTCCCAATGCAGAAGTGCCTCGGGCGCCAGAGGAGGCTGGCCCGGGCCAGGGTGAGAGAGAGAGAGAGAGAGAGAGAGAGAGAGCGCCGGCCTGGCTCCACTGGGCTGGGGAGGAGGGCCGTTCCGGTCCTGTCCTGCCTCCCCGCTCCAGGCACCCCTGCCTGGCCGCCCTCTGCAGCCTTTCGGCCCCGTGGGGCAGCTGCTGCGATGGCTCCGGGGCCGTGGGGTGGGCAGAAGGGGGGCTGGGCGGGTGGGGGCAGAGTCTCCCCCCCCAGTGCATGCCCGGCCCCTCTCTCCAGCAAGGCCTCCTCCCAGCAGGGCTGTTGCCTGAGTGCCTGAGCATCACCCGGATGGGGGACCAGTTCTGGGCCAGGGAGGAGGCGTGCTCCAAGAAGCTCCCCTTCATCTGCCAGTCCGGTGAGGAAGTGTCCCGGGGCGGGAACAGGTGGGGGCGTAGGGGGGCTCCTGTCCTGTGCATTGGGAGAGCTCCTCTCCCGCCCGCCCGGCCGGCTTGGGCATGACAAGACCCCTCCTGAGCTCAGCTCCCCCTCCGTGCACTCTGTCTCCCTCCCTCCCTCCCTCCCTCCCTCCCTCAGGCCACCGGAGGTTGCGCAGAGCGGCTTCCAGCCCCCGGCCGGTAAGGTGGGGGCCA